CACAGATCTTTACCAAACAGAAACCAGATGCTTCAATGACATGCATCAGAGGGTCTGCTAGACACTGATGTGAGCTCAGCATCAAGCCTGTGAATATTTTGTCTCTGAGTGTGTTTCTAAGAAGAGTAAAAAACAAAAAGAGTGTTATACCTTTGTTATTTCTGAGAGGAAAAAAAAAGCTTTTGCCCCGACTCAGGGCATCTCTGACCTAGCACAGGACTAAGAAGAGCAGAGGGCAGCCCCAGGAACTATTCAAACGCAGGTGAGCTGTAGGTATGAGTTTCTGCCAGAGCCTTTCTCCCACTGCTTCCCAGTGAGCTGTCTGGTACATCTATCCCTGCTTAATACACATTTCATGTTTCAGATCTTGCCAGAAAGACAAACAGTTTTGCTGCTGCCAGTTGTGAACATTACACATTTGCCAAGGAGGTGTCATGCTTGTTTGCCACAAGTGTAATTAGATGATCAATCATTAGGAGCCAAGGAGAAATACCGGCATTGCAAACAAACATATTTTTCAGTTTGCTCTCTGAAAAGAACAGGGAGTTAACTACAAAGGAGAGAAAAATCTCTCGCTATGCCTCTATCCTGGCTCCCTTTTCCCATCATTTCCAGCAGGGGAAAGACAGCAGATTTCCTCCAGCTGCTGAAAGACACCTGAAAAGCATGGGGACCTGTTGAGAGAGGCTATTTTCCTCTGGATGGCAGACTGCTTCCCAGTCAGGCCATGCTTGACCAGGGACACTCAAGCAAATTAACGTAAAGGGGATGAGCAGAGACCTGGGTGTTCAGGGGATCCAAGGGAAGGGCAGAGCAGCAGAGAGGCTCTGTGAGATGCAGGCATGTTGCTGCCCTGCTGGCATCAAACACAGGGCTGCAACCTTGCTGCTCTGCCCTGCCCTTTACCTTTCACTAAATCCATATCTGGATTAACTCAGCCACACTAAAAATCTGAGTGGCCTCTGTGTGGGAATTAAAGTGGCTTTACTGCAGTTAATTCACAAAGGAATTTGTTCCATTTCAGGACACTATCCACATCTGCATCCAAAGTCTCAGGTAAAACTGAGACTCTGTTTTGCCTCTGGCCATCGTGTACAGGGATAGTGAAACAGCAAGATCCCACAAGGACAGGGCACGGCAAGTGCTATCTGTACTACCTTTTCTCTGTATTTATGATCCCTTCTTTCTGCCTTCCCTATGAAAATGGAGGTGCCTGGAAAACACAGTAAAAAGCACTTTCTTTTCTAGTCAGCTTTTTGAAGTGGTTCTTACTTCTTTACTGAGAAACTGTCAGCAGTAAAATATAAAGTGCTCCTTAAAGCAGTACTGAAAGACTCACAAGACACCCTAATGGCCACCGTAATGCCTCCAAATGATGCCAGTTCTGTGTCTGGAGAAATTAAGATTATTTTTAGTACTGAAAACTCAAACTCTCAAAAGTTAGGAATTAACAGGGTTGTCCATGTAGTTGTAGTTTTGTACCATATGGATATGTACTAGATACAGCCTTTAATTGCATGATCACAAATTACACTGTGTTTTAATTTCCCTATTTAATGCAAAATATTTGGAACTTTTTTGTTTTTAATTTTCCCAAAAGAAACCTTTTTTTTAAAAAGAGAAACACCAAACCTTTTCATTTGTACAGTGTTCAAACATAATCTTTCAACTTTCCTTATGATGATCACCTACATGAAAGACAAAAATTATTGCTGTAAAAGCAGGTCAACTTAAAAAAAAAAAAAATAATGCAGAAACTGCAGAAGGAAACAGGAAACAATTTTCACTCACTTTGTCCAGGGCCTTCTATACCCTCCCTGACCCCCATCAAGTAAATGCCAAATAAGTGAACATGAAAGGTTAGCTGTATGTGGTTCCTCCAACTTCACCAGTGAGTTGCAATGGCCTGTAAAACAAGCAGGGCTGGAATTCCTGGGTACATCACTCACCCTGGTCTCTGGCCTTCTCTCCATGAAGCACAGTTCTGTTTTGTGAACTGCAGTCAGAGTTCAGAAGGAGCCAAAATAGGACCAAAGGGCTGATCTTGCACATATCAAATCATTCCACTCCTTTTATTCTTTTAAAATATTTTTCCACGTTCCTGCTTTTTTTTTTCTATCCTGCATTTTGTGCATGTTTCTGCCTTCTCTAGAGAGTTTTGCATTATCAAAGGGCAACAGAAGAAAAGAAAAAAACTGGTGCTGCATTTAGCATTGATTTTTTCCCCTTCACTCTGAGTCACATAAGCTAACATTTAATTAATTTCTGACACTTTGACAGTTTCTAAGAAGACATTTGTAGAGCTATCAAGTGCTGCTGATAGCGCTGTCAGACAGACACTTTTTGAATTATCAGCTATTAAGGACCCATATGCAACAAATTTCCAAGGATTATTATACAAATTGTTCTTTGAATGAGAAAAGCACACAAAAGCTCAGTGAAACATAAAGAAACCATTGTTCCCAGGTGAATTTGATATTTGCAAATGTTTTGCTATTTTGATCACTTACATAGTTTAATAAATTGAATTAGCTTTGTCTTTTATTAAGAAAATTAAATGGCCTGGTTTACGATGTCTGAGAACATGGCCAGATTTTCAAAACACAGTGGTCTTTATGGAGATACAACTTGAGAAACATGGAATACTTGATTTTTAGGAAGTGCGAAGCAGGGAATGAGGTCCTTTCAAGATCTCTCAAACCAGAAACCCCAAAGCCAAAATAGCCAGTTGCTTTTAAACAGCCCTTGCCTTTATTCTTTGGTGATAGTCTCAGACATGTCACCATTTCTTGATGTAGACTACTTCAGGCCCAGGTACAGATCAGCGTGGATTATGCCATTGCAGAGACCCTCTGCAGCTGTGGGTAGCAGTTCGGGAATGACAGCTCTATTTTTGCTGGCCTCACTACACTAATTCACCAGTTGGCAAAGAAGCTGTGTTTCAACAAACACTGAGCTTCAACAAAGAGCTGCATTTCGCCTTGCTCAGTGGCACAGCTGTGACTTGAAGCTAGCATTTGTCTGCCTCCGCTGTACGCCCGAGCCACGGCGTTATGATCAGACTGCTCCACTTGCTTCTCCTTGGAGCATCTGGCATTCACGGTTCTGGTGAGCTCAGGGAACTAGTAGCTCATACAGCGAAAATCAGCTCAGTGCTCTTCTCCCTGTGGCCTTTGTGGCTCTCTGAAAGGCAGACTCAGGTGCACGCCAGTCAGATCTGAGCACATCCAGTTCTGCCTGTACTACCAAATCAGTTATGCAGAGGACAGGGATGACTCCCAGACTGAGTCAATACTCACATTTCAGCCCCTACTGCTTCAGCAAACACACATCATGTGGCAATCCTTTCTTTTTCTAAGTGTGTAGAAATGCCAGCAGGACCCAGACCATCCCAAGCACCCACTACACAAATCCTGCCCTGGGAGCTCTTCAGTGAGTCCACCTAAATGAGAGCCAAAAGAGCCTCACACAGCCAGGAGAAGGTCTTTCCAGCATGCCAGAGCCTGTGGCCAAATAAACTACAGTCTCATTGCAAATGTAAAATTTGTTTTTCATATGCTAGCACCAGACAAAGACCCCAATACAGACACCTGCTGACAAGGCCTGCATGATGTAGCTTAACTTTTAGCCAATTTTTTTTACAGTGTGGACATATGTGCAGTTGGATCCCAGTGATTTAGGGGTATGCAGTGTCCTGGTATCACTGCTTTGCATCACCTGCTGGCATAAAATCCATAGAACCTTATGGACATTCATGCACCTTCACTAGCCTGCACCATACAGAAATATCACCTAAGAGATATCAGCTCTACTGAAGTCTTATCATCAGAGCTGAACCATGACCTTCCCTTCATGCACCACATCCCACACTTTAGCTTTGTTTATACACCTCTCTCAGCAGAGAGTAGCTTTTTGCTGCCTGCATTTGCAGCTGATAACTCACAATCCTCTACATCCAGACAGCAACAGTTCTTTAGAATATTGTTTCCTCATCTTTGGTCAGTTCACTTTCATTCTCCTTCTTCCTCATCCATAAAAATTGCCTGTAAGCCTGGGACCCAAGCCATAGCCAGTGGAAACCAAGGATTTCCAGGGAGACCTGTCTTCCCAGTGCCAGGAGCTTCAGAGGCTGGGCTGTGGGATGGCACCCAGTCATGCCCTCACCATTTCCCCCTTTGCACTGCAGCCTCACTGAGGGAATGGCAGAAGGCAGGCACCGTCCAGCCCTGACACCAGAACTGCTACTGTCAAGTTGCATTATCATCACATTTGATTCATAGTTGGGGTTTTTTTTAAGCATTTCCCTGCTGGAGGAAAAAAAAAAAAAAAAAAGAAAAACAAAGGGAAAAAAAAAAAAAAAAGAAAAAAAAAAAAAAAAACGCCCCAAACCCTCAGGCAACACTAAATGTCTGACCTGAATCCACAAACACAAGCGATCTTTCATGTTGAAGGTGGAAACTTCATCCCTAAATCGTTTGTCTCTACTGCTGCAAACAACAGAAAAAAAAAAAAAAAAAAGGGAAAAGCAAAGGAAAAAAAAAAAAAGAATGAAAAAAAAGAAGAACACTGCCCTAAGCCCCATAAAGCACGTGGCAAATAAACAAAGTGGGTCATGGCACAACTGCCCTGAACTGTGTACCTCTAACACAGAGCAGTTACTGGTTAGGGACAGTCAGGGGAGCGGACACAAAAGTCCCAGGCACTCTGCCTGAATCTGCTGTAACACAGAGTAGCTAGTATCTCCGGCTACAGAAATCGGGGGGACGAACTGGAAATAGAAATTAACTTCTTGAATCCCTGCCTAGGTATCTGACTATCATTCTCAGCCTCCCATCTAGGTCTTCATCGCATTTCCAGTCAGTCAACCACTTGCACACAGGAACTCAGGGTAGGGGGAACAGGCTCCAGAGAATCCCACGAATGAGGTAGCACATGTGTAACTGGTTTATTTTTATTTTACATGTTGGCCTTTGACTGTCTTTTCAACATCTTTGTGTCAGGGTGGAGCTGGAACCTGGCACTTCTACCTCCATGGATCCCCTAAACCTCTCTTGGTACAACGGTGACATCAGTGACAGGAACTGGAGCAAGCCACTCAACGAGTCTGATGCAGAGCAGAAGCCTCACTATAACTACTATGCCATGCTGCTCACCCTCCTCATCTTTGTCATTGTTTTTGGCAATGTGCTGGTGTGTATGGCTGTGTCCAGGGAAAAGGCCCTTCAAACTACCACTAATTACCTGATTGTGAGTTTGGCAGTGGCAGATCTCTTGGTAGCAACCTTGGTCATGCCTTGGGTGGTCTATCTGGAGGTAAGTGACCCAGTTTTCTTTTTTGGTACTGAATGTTTCTGGTGAACGGGGAGGGAGAGAAAAGGTTTAGCAGCCTGGACATCAGCTATTTCAAGGCCTCCTGAATTTCCCAAAACAAAAGTGTTTTTAATTCCCTAACAGTTGGTCAGATTTCTCTGGGAAATAGGCATGAAAGCAGATGAAAGGCTGACTTGAAAATGCATTGTTGTTCAGACGACTAAACTACAATCCAATCACATTGAAGATCTGGCCTTTAAAAAGAGGGATCAAGAGCAAAATGACACCAATTTTGTTTTCAAAACTACACAGATGAACTGTTCATTGCCAAGCATAAGAATGAGTCTGCAACATCATGGATGTCACACTAATGAACTGTAATCAAATTCCTATTTCTGAAGGACGACAGTAGTAAGAAGAGCAGGCAATTGTAGAAGTAGGATATAAATCCAGAGCTTTTGTGTCACAATGTGTGAGAGAAACAGAATAGCAGCTGAGCTACTTTCCACATCGCTGCCATTAGCGTGTCGCTTTGGTACAAAAGAGCACTGTGGCTTGTGAGCACCAAATACTCCGAAGACTGCCACCTGTTTACTTGATGGCAAACGACTCTTGCAACAGTAAATAGCCTGAAAGAATGAAGTGCATCTCTAGAGGAGGGAATTAGAGAAGATACACAGCTCCTCTCCTTTGGGCCCCTTCGCTGGGGTGCCCATGTTCTTCACTCGGCTGAGAGCTGGCATGCTGGTGGCAATCACAACCAAGAGAGAATGAATGGTGGTGAGATAACAAGACTGAAACTATATCAAGTGTACAATTAATTTTAAGGCACTTGTTTACAAGATAAAATAATAAAACAAAGAAGAGAGCAGGGGAAGAAGAAGCCATAATCAATTATATCATTAAGCATTAATGCAAAGCAAAACAAACCCACTGACATGACATAGGCTGTCAAGAAACCACAATACTAATTATCGCTCTAGTTAATTATTATTTTCATGGCACTTTGAAAACGTAAGGCATTGTGCATCTGCTAAAGCTCATTAGCGTGACCACAGGCTGGTTGCGATGGTAGTCAATGCCTCTGGGACCAGTTATGCTCTTCTGTTATATTCCCCTTTTGCGACAACCCTTTTCAAGCAGAGGCTTTTGCTGTGAGCAGCTCTTGCTCTCTTAGGTCCAGGTACAAGTCTCTCAGACACTTCTTTTTCTAATGTGAAAGACTGAAGCACAAACCATGTAAGATACTTTACTCTCTCTGGGCTCCTGTGTACATGGAGTTGGTCAGGAACCTCAGCTTCCTTCATCTGCCAAATAGATCAATCAGGCCTCTATGTCTCAACAATACTTCCCCCCCTCCCCAATTTATTTTTGCCCTTTCTGCTCTTATTCACACTCTGCTAAACACACTGCTAGCTTGAAGCAACAAAAAACATGACAAACATTTGCTGACAGAGAAGGAGCCATTGTACTGATGTGGGTTAGGCACACTCACTGTGATCACTCTCTGCGTCTGCAATCTGAAATCAAATCTGCCCAGAACCCTTTGCCCTTTAAGTACTTTCTTTTTTTTTTTTTTTAATTTTTTTTTTTTTTTTTTCTTCTCCCAAGGGAATAATGACAGCACCAAAGGAAATGGTCTGAAGTTGCAGCAGGGGAGATTCAGATTAGATATTAGGAAAAATTACTTTACTTTACTGCCTGGTCAGGCACTGGAACAGCCTGCCCAGGGAGGTGGTGGAGTCACAATCCTTGGAAGTATTTAAGAAATGTGTAGACATGGCTCTTCAGGGCATGCTCTAGTGCCCAAGATTATTGGTTTGTGGGTGGGTGTGATGTGGTGGGGTGTTGTGTATGTTGTTGGGTTGGGGTTTTTATGTTGTTTTTTGTTTGGGTTTTTTTTGGTGGTTGGACTCGATGATCTCAGAGGTCCCTTTCAACCATGATGATTCTGTGATTCTGTGATTTCTGGAATCATCCCTAAAGCATATTTGTTAGGGCTTTTAAAAAGTCAATTATAAAATTATCTGGAAATTCATTGAACCAATCACTTCCCTTAGAGGTCAAGCTAATAGTCTAATAAGATAACTTCCCAAGTAATTTTAGTAAGGATACTCTATGCTATTACTTCACGCCTTCCATCCCCTAGAAATCCCATGAACATGTACACAACACAAAGGCACAACAGTATTGTAACACAGTAACAAGTTTTTATGGTTTCTTAACCTAGAAGTATTTGACAAAGTAAGAATTAAGCTGGAATATTTTGGTTTAATCAACTCTTGATGACTTAAAAAACATTTCAATTAGGAGACCCTTTGTGAAAAAAGAATAGATTTTGAAATTCTTTTTAAGAGAAGTAAATCTTTTTCTTGAAGCTTTCCCCGGCTATACAATGTTCACTGAAGTTTTTCCTCTATTTAGGTATGGCCCTAAAGTGCATAATTTCTGCTGTTTGAAGAACATAACATTTTTTTGAAGATCATATATAAAATTATATCACTCTCAGGTTATTTATATATAAAATAAATACAGTAACTAAAAATGCGTAACTTCTTGACATAAAATATTAATTTTTATTATTAAAAGATGTTTTACATGTTTTTCTTGTTTTCAGATCAAGTTTTGTCATGAACATTCAAGAATTTTTTTCTTGTTTCCTTGAAGCCAAGCTTTGATGAAAAACTTTATAGAACCCTCCACAACATGAGAATATAAAGGTTTTGAAAATAACTTATTTCTTTTCCTTTCCTCCATTTTAATGTCTTTTTTTTTTTTTAAATTCTCTTTATTCTTTTTTCTTTTTTCTTTTTTTTTTTTTTTTTTTTTTTTAATTTTTTTTTTTTTTTTAGGATTTGTGTCACAAGCTCAGACAAAATAGAATGTCAAAAGGAAACCCTTTTAAAAATCAGCCTCCTTGCAAACAAATCTTCTACCTCCAAGCCTCTGAGGTTTCTCTACATAAATGAAAGCACTAAGAGAAAGAACTGCTACAGTTTACAGCATCTTCCATAAATTGGAAACTATGAGTCCAGGAAACTGATTTTACAGAGGCTTATATCTGGCTGGAAACCTTTGCCTTGGGGCAAATTCTCCAAGTTACTGATGTAACTGTCTCTTAAGTGCTTTTTTAATCACTGAGTATTCATCTGTCACTCAGGCTTCAATGCAGTCATTCTTTCTTCTTTATGCTGCCTATGGTTATGTATATCAGAGCAGAAATAACTGAAGAATAGATATCTTATTCATTCTATTTTCAAATGCAGTAGGACTCTATTTTTATTAGAGGGAAATATATTTTTTTCATCACATGTCAAATACAGCAGTCCTAATAATTGCTATTAAACTTAATTGGCAAAGTTCAGTTTCAATAGCAAGATAAGTGAGGAGAAAAAGGCTACTGGTAACTGGAAGTGTTATCATTAGTTCTTTGTCTTTATCACAATATGTAGCATATCAAAGAATTTTTACTCTAGATTAAATAAATTTTGTTCAACAAAAAAAAACAAAAAGGAGGAATTTCTACCCTGATTTTTTAAACTAAGAAATGAAGGAAAATCCTGCTTCTCTACTGCTGGTCTTTGCTAGGTATAATTGCAAAAAAGTGCCTAATAATACGCTGTAAGTACAATTAGAGGTGCTTGGGATATAAAATTAGTGTATTTCCTTCCTAATACTTCTTTGCAATGCTTCAGAGATCTGTTTAAGCTCCTACATGGTTCACTCTGAGGAGCCATGCACTCCCTTATGTCACTGGAATACGAGCTCAGGTTTGTGCTTAGTGTTTGGGCTGCCTAGCTCAATACACAGTAACCAGATGGAATAGGAAGGACAAAATCACACCGGTTCTCAGGGGAATGCTCTAAGGAATGGTTTGAATGGAGCAGAGTACTTCCTTTGTGGCCTTGCCATCACTTGAGACCTTTAGACTAGACAGAACAAAGTCCTTGAAGGCACTCAATGGCAAGCAATCCTACTTGACACAGTGTATGACTGATTACATGTGACCCCATTCCAGCTGGAACCTCTGTAGACAAAATTTTGATCCCTCTTGAACCAGCAGAACTCCAGCTACCAGCAAACATCTGTGTTTTTGTGCAAAATTGTCCCTTTAGACCCTCTCAATAGTGGTGAATTCTCAGTGAATTCTTCTACTGACCTTATTTTTTCGTCTTTGCAGGTGGTTGGTGAGTGGAGGTTTAGTCGGATCCACTGTGATATCTTTGTAACCCTTGATGTTATGATGTGTACAGCCAGTATCCTCAACCTCTGTGCCATCAGCATTGACAGGTGAGGGCTCTGTGGAAGCAAGCTGTATCAAATGCACAGTAGCATGTCACGGCTGTCTTTATATGGTCTAATTTTACCTGTGACTCGGAGACCGGAAAATGCTGAGAGCCAGTGGTGTTGCCATCTTTTGAAGAGCGATTTAGAGGACCTAAACAAGGTCTGAGCAGAGATTCCATCAGAAGCATACACAGAAACACTAGTCTTGAGAATGTAAATGGAACTATCTGTGTACATCCCCGCTAGCTCAGTTCCTTCTGTTTCTACACTCACATAGCGAAGCGGACTTCAGTGGGAAGGCAGCAGCTCAGAGAGTGTGGAAGAAAACCGCTCTGCTAAGCTGACCTCAGTCTCACGCCTTCCAAAACACGGAATGCAAACATCCTGGAGATTCGTGAAACCTGACTTGCCCTGTATTCTCTCGCTGGACCAGGCTTTCAGACACAGTAACTAGGTGTAGTTTCTCCCAAAGTTTGTCAGCACTGGCAGAACAACAGTAACCTGGGTTTGTATCTTCACACTGCAGGTACACAGCAGTAGCAATGCCAATGCTGTACAATACCCGCTACAGCTCGAAGCGCAGGGTCACCGTCATGATCGCTGTGGTCTGGGTGCTTTCGTTTGCCATCTCCTGCCCAATCCTCTTTGGCCTCAACAACACAGGTGAGTAGTGATACCACCTACAGCCGGCCATTGGCATTGTCCTGGCTTTACTGAGTCCCCAAGAGGTCTTCTCTTACAAGTCAAAAATAAACAGGGATCAGGCTTTAGGTGTATTAGGATGTATCCGTCCCTGTTTGAGGTGTCCTCTCCCGTTGTCATGCTAGACTATTTCTGTCAGCTTCTTCTGAATCCATTTCTCTCTTGCTGTTCCAGACCAGTGTTTTAGACACATCAGAACTGAGGCCATGTAGTTTACACAAAGCTTCTCAATGTTACATTAACATTTGTCCACTACAAAATCAAAATCCTTCTTTTTCATGTGTTTTAATGCAAGAAAGTCATGGGACAAATAGCTTCACTGAAGCAGGCAAGAAAAGAACGGGCTGTTCAACCATCAGTTCCATAGGAAGACTGGATTGTATACAGCATGGGACTGGCAGGCTTCTATTTGTAAGGCAAGCAATAGACAGGGACTTCAGGTCATACGTGACTCTCTGTGACCCAAGTGGAGTTTGCTGTTTTGGGACCACTTCCAGTTGACATGGTGGTACCCCCTAGAACCCAAACCCCCCACTCTCTGGCTGTCTGTGTGCCTTCTGAAAGGGGGAGAGAAGAGGGGGAAGCCAGTCCTTGCTCCTAGCAGCAGCGACAACAAGCCTGAAACTTTTTGTCTTCCAGATGAGAATGAGTGCATCATTGCCAATCCTGCCTTTGTCGTGTATTCCTCCATCGTCTCCTTCTACGTTCCCTTCATTGTCACCCTGCTGGTGTATGTGCAGATTTACATAGTGCTGCAGAAGCGCAGGAAGCGTGTCAACACCAAGCGCAGCAGCCACGGCCTGGACTCGGACACGCGAGCCCCGCTGAAGGTAACCAGACCTCTGCCTTGCTCTCACCAGTCTCCGTCCTTTCGCCTTCCCAGCTCCACTTCATTCCCCAAAGCACATCCTCCATTCCCCAAGTGGCACTGGCTGGACCAGGTGAAATACTGGATCACAAAAGTGAATGCTGTGTCCTGTGCCATTTGGAGTCCCAGTTGCACACTGGATTATCAGGTCACTGGCTGGTGCTTTGCAGGCCTCCCTGGGTCTCAGGGAATGTTTCATCAGCAGATCTGCATTAGGAGCTGCTTCATTAACCAGACCGCGTGTTCCTTTGATTCTAAGTTTGGGTTAGTAGCCTGACTACAGGCTATACTATTTTCTGAGTCAGTCCTGCTGTTGTGATGGAGAAGTTCAATGGAAGTTGTTTGCGTGGCTGGGGTGCAAACTACATCGCTGGTAATGATGCCTCTGCAGTGAAAACAGCCTCTCAAAGCATGAGATATGTAAGTGGAGTCCAGCTGAGCGTGTGAAGTGTGAGACTGCTTGTCAAAACGCTACTCTTGCAGCACATGCAAAACAAGCAGTAGGAGTGTATAGTCCCGGAGGCACCGCCTCCCAACTGCCTTGCCTCAGAAGCCAGTGCCATGTCGAGCAAGGAGGCAGCAAGACAGGGATAGGCAGAAACATTAGCAGATCTTTGTGGTTTCCTTCCTTTGGTGAAAAGCATAAGGAATACTTGCCTCTGTCACTGCTTCTTCAGGGTAGCTTTCCATCATTCTTAGCGCCATAGTCATACTAATTAATTTCTGCTTCATTCCCTGTGTTTGTATTTCCACGTGCCTCCCTCACCAGCTTCCCTTCCCAAGTAATATCTGCTTGTGTAACCTCTGAGCTGGTGCTTGCCCCTTAGGACAAATGCACTCATCCAGAAGACGTCAAGCTCTGCACAGTTATTGTGAAGTCCAATGGGAGTTTCCAAGTTAATAAGCGCAAAGTGGTGAGTGTTACAGAGAAGTGGTAGCTTTTCAGAGCATTTAGCTTTCCCTTTTTCTCCTCTCAGGGCACGAAATGGATGCATGTAGGGTGGGAGAAAAATAAACTAAGAACAAAGGTTACCATTCAATCTCAAAATTTAAATATTCTTCCCATTCCTTAGAGTGAAGCAGGGGGTTTAAGATCATAGAGCTCAAAAAGCCAGACTAAGCTCACCTAAAGATCAGCTATAAAAGCCGTGACATTTTAACATTTTGTGTCTTTTATTTTCTTCTCCTCTCTGTTATTTATTTAAAGTCTTGGACTGCATTGGCTTTGTTGCGTTTTGCTTATTGATTTTGTTTTTATTTATTTAACTTCTGAAAACTGAATAAAACCTATGGGGAGTTGAGACAGTGTCTCTCCCATTTCTTAGCCTCTTGGTGCAGTAAAGGAGAGTCATTCACTGCAGTTCTGTCAATCTCATCTACCCAAAAGTATTCTTATCTGTAAACACTTTACAGGCCATTCTCCAAGCATCTACCAAAAATGTAGGGAGGGAGAAGTGGGATTGGTTGCTCTTCAATATCATCCAGCTTCACTCTGTAAGGAATGTTCATTGCTTCTCTGCGTATATTTATCTCTCTTTACCGTTGTGGACATTTGATTCTTGTCCAGGAGGCGGAGAGTCACATAGAAGATATGGAAATGGAGATGGTGTCCAGTACCAGTCCCCCTGAGAAAATGACCATCAAACCAACGGCACCAAGTAGCCATCAGTTGGTTGTGCCAGTTGCTTCTAATCAGGGCACCAACTCAACTCTGCAGGCTTTCGACAGCCCTGGCAAAGTAGAGAAGAACGGACATGCCAAAGAAACACCCTACACAGCCAAGGTCTTTGAGATCCAGTCTATGCCCAATGGCAAGACAAGGGCCCTTCTCAAGACTGTGATCAGGAGGAAACTGGCACAACAGAAGGAAAGGAAAGCCACTCAGATGCTAGCCATTGTACTTGGTGAGAGCGCACATTGGCTTCCTCTTGTGTTTCTGCAGAAAACCAATAACTACCCAGAATGAGGGTAGCCAGTCTGAATGTCCAGTGTAGACTATTTTTGCAGGCCTCCACATACTTTCACTGGATACCTTAGAGAATACATAGGCAAGACGCTGCCAATAGGAAGGCTACCTCCTTCCCAGCTAGAACAGTTCACAGTGCTGTACAAAGGGCTCAGAAAGCTGTCCATCTGTGGGGTGTCTGGACTGACAAAAGACAGCTAGGTGCAGGGGTAAGAGAGCTCATGGGCTTTCTAGAACACAAAAGGCAGCATAGCTCAGCAAGAAACTGGCATCTCTGAAAGTCAGATTTTTTTGATGCAACTGGCCTGATTACATCAGCAAAGAAGTTCTTTAGTACCTGGACAGTCAGAATATAGCCTAAGACCTAACAGACAAACAGAAGGCTTATTTTTCAGGGAAGCATTTTTCTTTTATACCAAAACATCCTTACTGTTCTTATAGTCTCAAAATTTGTCCAACTTTCAGCAATCAAAATCTGTCTTTTCCTTTTCCCCCAGGTGTTTTCATCATCTGCTGGCTCCCATTCTTCATCACTCACATCCTGAACATGCACTGCGATTGCAACATCCCCCCAGCATTGTACAGCGCCTTTACATGGCTTGGATATGTCAACAGTGCTGTCAACCCAATTATTTACACCACCTTCAACATTGAGTTTCGCAAGGCTTTCATGAAGATCCTCCACTGCTAAAAGTAAAAGCAGCAGCCACATTTTTAAGAATGAGAAATGAGAAACCAATGCCATTCACGCACACAAAGGGGCAGCCATGGGGAGGTCTCGAGCTCTTGTATTGGGCATGAGGCCTACAGTGTTACACCAGTGCCATGCCCATGAGCCTCTTGGTGGGGATGCAAAGAGGACCTTCACGTGGGAGGTTCTCTCATCCCTTGAGGTGACCTTTGGACTCTGGGACACCAACCCCAAAGGCACTTTTCAGAGCTACCCTCACACTGTGTTTAAAGTGGAAGCAAAATCAAGACGTGCTCACTTGATTCTTGCCTGTGGCCATCTAACCTTGAGTGCATTAAACACAGACAGTCAGTCACAGAGCCACGCAAAGGTAGCAGTAGGTCACTGCCGCTACCAGCTTGTGTGTTACATCATTGATACAATTCTCACCAAAGACGAGACCATCTTTTCCGCTTTGCAATAGGAGCCAGACAGAGCTTGCGGAAACTCCATGCAATAGCTTTGCCTTCACCTCGAGCTGACTTACCCAGTATTAAACTGCTGAATCCTTGAGAAAAAACTTTAAGAGGCCCCCAAGCGGGCTAAGAAAGTTATGCCACCTACAGATCCAATCCCTGCAGCAACATGGGCCTACAAGCAACTGGTGGAAGGAAGAAGGGGAGCATAAGCTTCATGTGGGACCAGTACATCAGTGTAAATATGAATACACAGGATGAATTGAACAGAAGCCCAAGCCAAAAAACAGGAGGAGAGAAACTAAGGAAGTGATACCTTGTATCACATGGTATACATTCAGATCAAACAGGACACCAACTATCATCTGTCATCAGCCAACCCAGCAGCAATTTCTGCCCACCAGCATTTCATCTCCAGTCTCCTACAAGAAGTTACATAACTAGGTGAGGAGTGTTAATGTGGCAAATGTAGAAACATGAAGACAGCGTGCCAGGTGAGGCATCTACAGCCACGTCCATCTCAGATGTGAACTTGAACAAGTCAGCTAAGTTAGGTCCAGTTCTTCTCACCTAACTTCAGGGTACCATGAAGCCAAGGACCACCTCAGATATAATTTGCCTATGTCTCTCAATAGAGAGAGTGCAGAATAACATTGTGCCTAGTTTAAATTAACAGTAAATGAGGTAAAACTCTGTGTTTTAGAAAAAGCCAGAGTCCCTAGCTGGACCTGCTCCTGTGTCCAAGTTGGACTCTGGAAAAGTCTGGAAGTTTCCAGCATCCCTTACCCTCTGATATCTCTTTAATGGATTAAAACAATTGAAAACCCATAACAGCGTAATTTCACCAAGGTAGCTCTGGCATTGCCAGATCTACACTGTACTTACTAGTTGTCCTCAGTTCAAAATATATTTTGTAATACCTCTGTAAATAAAATATATTAAGATGAATAAAATGACATGGAAATAGGACTGGCTAGAAATTAATGTAGGATCTGGAGGACTAGATGATTACAATAGCCATAAGCAGAGGCAGGCTCTGAAGTTCTAGTTACCTGCTGTTTTCTAAAGCTGTTAAAACGCAATCTGGAAAGCAATATAATCCCTTTTCTCTCTATGCAGTGCGTGGAATATTCACATAGTTTCTGCTTCAGAATAGATAAAGACCTCTGCCAAGAGGGCTTTCTTTTATTCTCTGGTTTTCCCATATTGCTAACAAAGCATTTTCCTGTGGGATGGACTGTGCTGGTAGAATGTGTTCCAGCTGTGTATCAATAAAAGATTATGCCAAGCAGCTATAACACATCCTCTCAGCTGCTTTCTGAAACTGAAACAGGAGTCCCACCTTGATCCAAAGGTTTCCATTCTAAACTTTGTATTACTCGAAGAGGCTGATAGCCAGCGTTATTAGCATTTAACCCATGGACTTGTATAACATTTGAACATGGCTCTTCAAGGTCTGTTCGTAGCTGTAAAGTTAAATTAAGAGTGATCCTACAGGTGCCTAAATGTGTCCCATCTTGGGGAAGAGTTTTAGCATATACCCACAGCAGAAATATGTCCTATGTACTAAGTGCATAGGAGAGTACATGCTTACCAGGGCAACATTTTGTTGACGTACACGAAGCGGGTGTTACATGATGTCGACAGGGAAAGACTTTTATGAACATGTAAGATGGGGCCAGTCACTCTTCTGTCTTAGCATTGTAATGCATAGCTAAGAAACCTTTGTACTTTGTGTGATAATAGGATTATAGCAAGGGAAAAAAAGCCCACTTCTTATAGAAGCACAGGAAACTTTCCAATCCTTTTTAATCAGAAAATTGGAAACACTAACTCAAGAGAGCTCAGGCACATGTTATCTGTTCTTTTTTTCCCCCAGTTTTAACCAAGCAAATTCACTCAGTAATGGGAAGCAACTCAGACTGATATTACTTAAAAGATTCAAAGAATAATGTAAACTCAATAGGGTTTTTTGGGTGGAAAAATAGTAACAAGCTACTGCTCAATCTTCTAACATTTTTACAATCACAAAGCAGAAAGGTGCCATTTGACTTAGTGAATTAACAGATGGGGAGCTGAATTAAAATAGAAAATAATATGCATATAGACAAAACAGCTTTAAAGCATTTGGAAGCTGCCATAGGTGATACTTACCCTGTACTAAAACCTGGTGTGAGCCCTTAATATAAGTGGAATGTGAATAATATCTTAACTTTGTGCCATGATTTTATTTTGTGTTCAGTGTTAACCCAGGACAAAATCATCACCTTCAATACTGTGTACCTTGTTCAAAAATTTTGTTTCTGAATGTAGATGCAGAACCTTATAGCTCAACTCATCTGAACAACTAGATAAATGACTCTTCCAAAACATCGTGGAGGAAAAGAGCTGCTGAAAAAGGGCCCCTGTCCTTCATGTGTTTGCTAACTTGGACCAAAACTCACAGGTGTTGTTTCCTAAAAGTTAAGTATTTGTTGGGAGAAATTACCTGCAGCCCATCATTCATCCCAATAAAATTTTAAGCCACTCATTCCTAATTCTCCAGACTCAAAAGTATCTTGTTGGAATATCTATATCCCCACTGCCCTTGGAAAGGTGGTAACATCACGTCTGTTCATCTCCTCTGCTGCAGGTTTTCCTTTCCCATAAAACATCTACTCTTACAGATAACAAAGTAAAGCACTTTCCACCCATGAATCAAGCCTTCATAACTCTCTTTGAGAGGACCAAAATATATGATCACCTCTGGCTTTACAAAGAACAAACTAATGGCAAGAGCAAGGACAGTCTTTGCAATCTGTTCATACAGCACCTGGCACGATGACATCCAGCCCATAGTTGTGATGGAAGGTGTTTGTGGAAACTTCTGAAATTATGAGAATTCAGTTGCATCGTATGGGACTCTGAGGCCTCTTGCCCTCAGATCCGAGTCTAGCAAATACAGTCCTCACTGTTACTTCCACTCTGGAAAAAATACTTTCCCAAGGACTTCAGATGGCGGGACATGCTGCTGATGGTAAGGGTACTGATATGTTTTTTAAAACACATTACTGAGAAGATTTTGTTTCTTCATTCCTGAAGAAGAACTTCAGACCCTTGCTATAGTCCTTATTTTGTGATTCATTATTTGTAATTGAAGCTTTAGTTCTGCTTATTGAGTCTTCCTGTTCCTGCTTTTCTTCCCTGTGATTCACAGCTCGCTGAAGCCTGTGTGGCGCTCTGCACCCCCTGAACAGGTTTTAATTAAGAAGCTAGTGAATTCTGCCTGCACTGTATTTGGCGCTTGCCTGCTTGCTCCCACTACAGTCATGATACTGTTTATCTTCCTGATTGAAGAGTAAACTAATTACAGTAGGTCTAACCAGCTTATTAAATCCTGCTGAAATAAAAAAGGAAAACAGGAAAAAAAAAAGCCACTACCTCTGTGGTGAAAAACTCCAGTGAAAACATGACTCCCTCAAGAGTCAAGAATGTATAATAGCCATCGCAAGTACATGTGACACCAACAAATGTCTTCATGCAGCACTGTAATTAAATAGAGACTTGCACAAGCTACCCTGATGTTATATGCTTATTTTGTTCTTTTTCCCAGAAGCAGTGATACTGGTGTTTAGCTGTAAGGGGTCAGACTCTAGGGATCTACAGTTATGCTATACATCGTGCAAACACCTAACAGGAAAAGATGGCCTTCAGATGAGATCTGGTATTTTTTCTGACTTGCTTTTCAGATTGGTTGCTTTTGTTTTTTCCTCTCCCTTATCCCAGTCTACCCTTAAGAATTCTAGCTTTTGTCTAGACTGAAGCTAAGAGAATCAGACGTGGAAAAGAAGGGGTGCAGAAAGGCACAGACAGAAAAGAAACTGTTCTTAAATTTCTCCGTCTCTCTTCTCTTCTAGACAGAAGCAGACTGGGGAGGATTTGGAGGAGGAAGGGATGAAAAACAGATAAGTACCTAGCAAAGAACAATCATGCTGGTACTTCTGGCATCACAACAGCTGCTTGTATTTACTTTTTGGCACTACCCATTCACATCTGGTCCATGGCAGTGCAGGCTCAAGACAAGGATTGAAAGCTACTGCTCTCACTGGGACATCGCTTGCCTAGCTGAGCTGTAATACTTGAGGGAAACAAATATATACGAGTCAAACATAAGCACCAACCTGCATGAGTCTGGTTGGCAACAACTAACAGTTTTCTGGAATCTACAAACTTGCACTCTCTCTGCATGGAGAAAATAAATAGAAGCTGTTCAGATCACTATGGCACTGCAGACAATTTGTATGATAAGTACAATATTTTAACGCTGTATTTGATGCAGAAGTTAATATGCCACAGAAAAGCAGTTACGGACTTCACCTGGCTAAGCACACCTAATGTAAAAAATGCACATCAGTGGGAATATTTCAGCTGTCCACCTCTATCACTTGGTCTTGCATAAAAGGTTTTGGTGAAGACCCTGCATGGGGCTGGCGTGCCGACAGAATACTGCAGCTGAGCCCCGTGTAGTAGCTATGCCAAGGTTAAGTAACTAGCACATGGAGGTTTTTTCCCTTCTGCATTTCACTGGGCTTTTATGCTGGAGAACGTCATTATTTCATTTAGTAATATTTATATTTATGTTGCACTCACTGTTGCATTATTTCCTCAAGCTACCTGCTGAGATGTTTGGTATTTATGCAAGAATTAATCCAACAGATGCATGTGTGAACCTCAGCCAGACTTAGTCAGCACAACAGTAAAACCTCAGCTTAGACTGCCATACAACTGGGGTTTGTGGGCAGTTCTCTCCAAGATTATTTTCTTTATGTAAAAAAGAAAGAGAAAAAAGGCAAAAAATATAAAAAATCCTACCTACTGCTAGGATAGAAGACTACGTATCTCCAAGAACCAACAAAGTGACATTTCAGTTTAATGGCCTTTTTGATCCTTGGCACGAACCAAAGATCTTGGTTTACTAAGTTTCGAACCAACAGAAAACAGAAAGTTAATCCCTGTCCTGAATTCTTCATCTTAGACAGTAACCAGAACATCCAAAACTACAAAGTTCAACTGACGCTTAATTCTCCTTGCTGTATGATCCATCTCAATGCCACCGTGACTGACAGAAAATGAGGTGCTCAAATGACCCTCCACCCTAACACAACAGAATAAATGATATTCCAACATGAAACAACAGGACACACACCAGTTTGTTTTTAGTGTGTCTAGCCCCAGCCTGTCAGGATAAAAGGCCAGCTACTATGAGGTTCTCCCTCACAGCAAAATTTTATTTCTGAGCCTGTGGCTTAGAATGACTGACTACAAAACAAACGCAGCAACCACTGCCAGCAAGCACTGTTCACACTATTCAAAAGAAATCAAACAGAACTGATATGTCCATCTCCTAGGGCATTTGAGCTAGTCCTACAGTTTCAGGTCAGGCCTGACAGACTAATGGATATGCTTTCTTCTGCATGTCTATAAAAAAAAACAAAACAAACCAGTTGCACTTGTTAAATTAACTCACTCTCTTTAATCAAAGCTTCTTTTAATAATTAAAACTGCTCCCCCAGCTCCCGCCTTTCTGACGATACCAGACTGTCTGCTTCATAGACAGCTTTTGACTCATAAATAGCAACTTTCTTCACCAAAGAAAGAGTGACGATGGTGGACTAAATATAATTAAGGTATAATGAATAATTAAGAGACCTAGAAATGCATTTAAAGGGACTTAAGAAGCAAAGCAAAACCCAGGCCCTTTAAATGAGGAAAAACATTCTGCATTCCCAAGCTGACATGCTGGGCCCATGAAAAAAAGTGGGATAATGAAAACAAGTGAGCACATTTAACCAAGCTTAGCATTGCTTCCCTGCTGTATGCAATCAACTGTATCCATAGCTTTGATGAGACAGTAAAGATTACATCACTTAAATCTCAGCTGCAGGATTTTATGCCAGAGTTACTGAAGGGAAGCAAGCAAACAGCACAGAGGTTTAGTGCTTGCTCTACATTAGAAGCCATCACTCCTGTTTTTAACCAAGCCACTACAGAGTTATTAACACACAGCTGGAGTAGATTTGTAACATTAACAGGGGTATGACATCTTGTACACTAGCAGCAAGTTTTATAAAAGTTAAGCAAAACGGAAGTCACAAATACACAGAAAGCTGATTAAAATAGGCTCTACAGAGTGATTGTGGAATTCAGCTGCTATCACTTCACTGGAGAGTCTCCTCAACAGAGGATACACGAGGTAAATCAGCCTCTCAGGCCCACTGCCCTGTCTCAAATGCAAGAAATTCATCAGCTCTAACTGCGAGAAGGCCAGGCGGGCGGGGGTCTGCATGTCTCCTGCCTAACCCAGAAGTCAGTGGCAAGAGGTAGCTGTGAAACCATGACTCTTCAGCAACGTGGTGGTTTCCTGCCCCAGCTGGCCCTATGCCTGCACTACAAGCTATCTGCCACCTCCCCTCCATCGCTTCACATACACCATTTCAACAGCATCTTCCTCGCTTTGGCTTCTCGCTAAGGTACGACAGATTCCTGACCACAGCAAGTCACGCCGCATTTCAAAATAAACAGCCCCTGCCTCTGAGCAAGCAGAGGACAGGGAACCATATAAACCTGTACCTCAGTATAGCCAAAGGATGCAGGCACTGCCCAGATCCTTCATCCTGTGGGCCATACTGCATGTAACAGAGACAGCAGCAGCAGAGTTAATTGAGCCACAGTCAGGGCCTGATTCCTCAGCAGCAGACATCATCTCCATCAACCTGGCACACGCAGATGTCCAGTTCAGTGTGAAACACTGCACTGTTTCTTTCTGCTCATAAACAGAGCAGATTTCAGCATTACTAGAACAAAACCAGAGGCTGATATTGTGGGCTTTTAATAGTGCCTACTGCATGTGGGGAAAAAAAATACCAAACACCAGAAGACAAGCATCCTCATGGAGATCTCAGCTTCCTATCTGTATTCATCTGTGGTTTAACCACTACACAAACCTCTTTCAGTTGCATGCAGACCAGATGTAAAGGGCTACAAACCTCACTTGGGAGAAGATAGGGTCATAACTTCAGGCTTTGTAACTGCATTAAACATTTCATAATAACCACTGTTAATATTTATTTAATAATACGGCCATGAAGTTGATTTTCTTTTCAGAACATGGGGAAAAGCAAGAACACCCAAATTTAACATTAGCAAGAAATCTAATCTTGTCTCCAAGTATTAACAGCAACACAGGAGCAAACAGCAACAAAGAAAATCTCTGTGCAGGTCTCGTGAGCATGAGCTCAAAGAGCTCTGTCAAACCATAAGCTGGAAAACGTACAAGGCTACAGAGAAAAACCCAGGAGCTGGAAAATATGATGGAATGAGACAGGTTATGAGTTGAGAGCTTGTATGTGTGAAGAAATGGGCAGTCAGTGCTAGGCTAAACAAATATGCCCATATACCTCCTTCAGAATACCGCCTCTCTTTGGGACAGCTTTAGTCAAAAATAAAAGTGACTTTGGTCAGGCTTGCTGGGAAAAACCAGCAAGATTGCAAAGCAGCTGCTGTGATACCTTTAAAAAGACTTGCAATGTAACGGCATGAGAATGGCTTCGCTCAGGGGACTCCCGATGCCTGATCTGAAGCTAATATAATTATGGTGTCATGTGCTCTGACAAGTAGGTTAAAAACGCACTTGCATGCCCATATCTGGCCTGGATTACATCCATTGCATGAGATGATTCAATGACACAGAGTTGATATTAAAGAGCTGAACCACTGCTTCTTCCTCCCTATGGGCCATGGGCTGGGTTCACCAGCAGGGAATAGTACAGGTAATTATACAGAATGAAAGGGTTTGACCCAAAACAAAACTAGTGAGTTTGGAAATGGGCTACAGAATCTAAATATAATGAGTAGGCTGGCTAAAAAGAGAGACATCAGGAAAAATGTTTATTCCTTTGTAGCACTGTACACCCACTTTGCACTCTGTTTTGCTATAAATTACAGTACAAGCACAGAAAAACAGGGAATAAGCTTCTGTAATACATATGAAGGCTGGAGTCTAGATGCAAAAGTCACACCAAATTAACCAAGGGATGTAGATTTATGACAATTATTCTGGCTTGGCAATTTACTCTGCTATGGTAATTGAGTTTGTGCATGCTCTCAGCTGGTGGCAGATATGCAGTAAAAGTCTCTAGGTTACATTCCTTCATTATGTTTACATTAACATGCCTACCTTGCACTTGCTAGCAGTTAAGATTATGCAAAGAATGATTTACTGTGGCTCAGTTAATGCATAGTAACCTGTTCAGCCACAGAGATATGCCTGTGTGTCTGAGCCCCCCTATCAAAGGAAGTACTCAGGTCTATGCGGCAGTTCTCGGGGCATCTTGTAAGAAACACGTCTGACTGCCTTTTTGATAAACAAGCTCAGTAAATTATTTCAAAGATGAAACCAGAATCACTCAAGAAGATTACAGAGAGTAAAATACTAGGAACTGGAATGTGATTCAGAGATACCAGTGAAAGGGAAAATGCTAGTAAATTCTACCTTCTTCTTAATTAAAAGCAGCAAA